ATTTTCCCATTTCTTATATTTTTTTGTTAGAAATTTTCACTTTAGTTTTTCACACTTTCATCTCAATATTGTTTTTATTTACCATAAAATTTTTGAAATTAATATATTTGGTTGTTAAAATTTAAAAGAGTTATATTATATGATAGAGTTGTATATTGTGTGTAATTAATTACAAATATATACCAATGATTAAAGTTAAGATAGTACTTGTACTATGTATACGTTTATGCCAACTAATTTCTGATGGGGCATGGTCGTTCCCTACAGAAAACTATTAAAAGTAGTTAAAAGCTAATTAATGTGATAATAATCATTAATGGATGATTAACACGTATGTTAACGGTCAATAATAATTAATTAATAGGTTTGATTATTATAAATTCTATTGAACATAATTCAATTTGTTAAGACTTTTTTTTGTGAAGCATATCTGACTTCAGGGTTAGAGTGTTTTCTGTAGGTCAAACACATATCGATTTGAAGAGAACTTTTAAAGAGACGCAAACGATCGATATTAGGAGAAGACCTGAATAGGACGATCGTCCGTCCGTCGATCAAACTGTAATAATACCATTATTGTAAAATTTTGAATCAATTTTTATATACAAATAAGCACATCAACTTATATTTAGTTTTTATAGTCAAATTTTTTAAGTTTTTATGATATTTAAATATACATACACTATTGAAATTTGTTTCCTAGTATTAATAAATGATTTAATTTTGTCTCTGATCCAAGTTGTTCCTTTATGTCCAAATTAACTTCAAAGAATTATTTTAATTAGAATTGGTTAATAATTTGAGGCAATCACTTTTTCTAGTGGTATTGAAGTAATCATGACATTGCAAAGTCAATTTAGAGTGAAGATATAAAATTACAATAAATTTGAAAAATTAAGGCTCGCATTAACCCATTTATTAATTGAAAGACAAAAGAAAAACAAATAATAACACAAAAAGAAATTAAATCTAAATATTGCAAAACTAAAAATAAATATAAAACATATAAAATGCAGAAAAAATGTGAAATTGTGATGTTTTTGTTAATAATTTATATATAAATATAATGTAAAAAATTAAGTGAAAATTTAAAAGTATTTTTAGACATAAAAATAAAAATAAATAATTAAAAGGAAAATTATCGATATTATGATTTTATCAGATCTTAAAAACAGTAAAAGAACATCAATTATCAATCGAGTTGAAGTGAGTGTGTACAGTATCAGCTACCACCTAAAAAGAATATATCCACAGAAATAAATGGTAACTTTAACGTATCTAATTTAATTGTAAGATCAAATTCACATTTTTCAATTTGTAGATATTTTACAATTTTTCTGCTTTTTAGACTTGAAATTAATTAACCGCGTTTTGCATTTTTAAGGCATCTAGTTCACTTTTTTCCCTGACCGCTAATCTCGCTCCAAATCAAGGCAAAGCTCACCGACACAACATTCTCACCCTCACCTAAATCCATAACGTGGCTCTTCTTCATTGGCCACACTTCACCACAATTAATCACAGCCCTTGATATTTACCTCTACCAACCAATAACACCAAGCCCACACCGTAAATCCACGTCACCATCCCCAAACTATCTCCCACCGCGAAAAGCACAATAGAAGCGCTTTCCGCTACCGGTCTCCTTTTCCCTTTCCGCTTTCCCCGTTACTCTTCTAGTAGTGTGGACCCGACATCCCTTTTCGACCCGGTTCGTTACTCGGCCCCGCGACACCATCATCACGCACCCTTCCTCCTTCATCCTCGGTATTGCAATAAATCACACAAATGGGTAACCAAAAAAGCTCAAAGCTCGAACCTTTATGTGGCTTTAGTTATCGATGCTTCTCTGAAACCCGCGTTTGCTTTGAGCTTTGTGCCAATGACCGACACTCGGAAACTTGCCGCAGCCGGCTTCCCGGCAACTTCGAGGGTGAAACCCGAGCCTGGTGTTGTACCCGGGTCAGGTCAGAACCCGGGGATTATAAGGTTTGGTTTGAGAGCTGAAATTGATACTTCGCCGCCGTTTGCGTCTGTCAAGGAAGCGGTGACCCGTTTTGAAGGAACCGGGCCTTGGACACGCTTTTACAAATTTGGAGAGGCTCGTGTAAATTTTTTGTTTCTGTTTTGGATTTTATTTTGAATAATGAACGTGTTTCGCTATCAGTTTTCATTTTTGTTGGTGCATGTTGAAAATGTTGCCGGTGCTGGCCTACGTTCTGCTTTATGGTGTTATTCTTTATTTACCATTTACTATAATTATTGGTGGCATTATGTTCTAGTATAGGGCAGTTCTTGAATTAGAATTATTCCTGTGGTGATTTACTCTCTGATGATGAAGTTTGTCGTTAACAGAACAGTGTTGAAGACTTTGACATAAAGAGAGTGGAGGAAGAAGCAGCAAAGTTAGAAAAGGATTTGATAGTGAAAGAACTCGAAACACTTGATGTGCTTGAAGAACTGGGAGCTACCAAAGCAATTTTGGAGGAATTGAAGCTGCAGCTACAATCAGAAGCATTGAATTGTTTAGCAACTCGAGGTGAGAATTCATGTGAACAAGCTGGAGCTGCTACTAGAAATTGTGAGAATGGTATCAACAATGAAGAGCAGACATTGCAAAGTTCGAGTCAGTGTGCACCTTTACCTGATCTGTTCTTAGTGGAGTTAAGACAAGCTAAAGTAAGTCTTGGTAAAACTATTAATGATCTTGTAGTGATACAATCCTCTGTTGAAGATTTAAATAAGAAAATGAAGAAGGAAAGGCTTTTTGTTGAGAGGGCACGAGAGAAGCTGGCATCGAAGTTTGCAGCTGTCTCTACTCAAGAAGTAACCAAAACAGAAGCAGGGTTTAATCCTCCTGAAGCTACTGTAGGAACAGGTTGCACGTGTCACCATCCCCTTAATGGTGGGAGGAGCTTTGGATTTGATACTGGACAGTGCAATCGAATGAATGAAACAAGAAGCTCTGAAGTTTTAAGGCCCTTGCCTGAGTTTGGTGAGAATGGATTTAGTATTAAGACTGCTGAGATGAGGTGGTTTGCAGCTAAAAAGATGGAAGAAGCTGCAATGGCGGCAGAAGCCGTTGCTCTTGCTGAAATTGAGGCTCTTTGTTGCCATGAGATATCATCTGAATTTTCTTTTCCAGAACATCAGAAAGTGACTTTTGCCTTAGGGGAGTGCTCTCCTCTAAATCCCGTAGTTCAGTTTCCTCAAGAGTCAACCTTGGAGAAGGAAACAGATTCCGAGTTCCAAATTGACAAAATAGGCATTTCTAAACTGGGTATTTTGAAAAAGTTTGAGGAAGCAACAGAGGAAGTTCTACGCAGCAAACAAGTCTTGACTGAGGTATTGAATAGTGTTGAAAGTGCAAACATAAAGCAGCTTGCTGCTGAAGAGGCTCTTCGGAGATGGATTCCTGAGAATGATCTAAAAGGGCAGACATTGACTAAGAGCAGCATGTTCAATCAAGCTGGAATTTGTCAAGATTCTCCTCTACCAGATGTAATCCGATCAATTACAACTAACAATGATCCGAAGCATGCCTTAAGGTCTTCAGTTTCAATGAGAGATGTACTTAGCAAAAAGCCAGTTCTTGAAGATTGTACTACAACAAAGGATATGCAAGAGCATTCTGGACAGACAGTAGCCTTGAGTCAAATGCTTCGAGCATTGAAGGAGGATCAAACTCTGCCGACAATACCCGAGAAAGATGTGAAGAGTAATCAAAAGCAAAAGCAGTTCATAGCATCTAGGAAAAAGTTCAGTTTCATCCAAATATCACTCCCCTTGGGAAAGCGAAGTAAGAAGAAGACATGAATCCTGAGGCCTATGCATGGATCAATATCCACAAATCGCATCAGTATTTTGCCATTCTTTCTTTATTCATATGTTACGTCTGCTTTTTATAAGTCATAGAATTTGTGACTCTTTTGTATAACTTTGTAAAGTCCTCACTTAGCGGCATAAGGCTATATTTGTTGTTGTTGTTGTTTGATTTTGTAAACTATGTTTTTGTTGTGTGATTGTCTTACTTTATACAACTTGCTCAGTTTTAACAGGGCTAGTGGATTTTACTTATGTTTATTGTTAAGATTGAATCGTTGATGATAATGACAGACTGAGATGTCGATTGACCAATACGCAGTTAATTAGTAGTGGAAGATAAGTATCAAATATGGAATACCGTTCATCAAATGTTAGGTGAATAACTCAAACGCATCTATAACAGACTATAACAATGATTACTTAGATGCATGATTTTACTACTCCATTTTCCAGATTTTGCTTCATTTTAATTGTTGAAAACAAATGTTCTGTGATTTATTAGATTTTGGATATATGTAAATCATAAAGCATAATTGCCACAGAAAAAAGTTTTTGTTTATATATTCAATAACACCAATTTCGAAAGATTTCATGTAAAGCATTTGTAAATGGGCAATTGTGTAGAGTATCACAGGTGGGATAAGTTGATTTAACTAATTTTTCTTTTACCTCTTTTTGTTTCTTTCACCTATGATGTTTAACTAAATTTTACTCACTTGGTTATACTAACAAGGTGAATGTACAATCATGAAAAACTTCCAAGACTACTTTTTCTACAGTCAAAAGTGCCTCTTTGGCTAAATTTTTGTACACAAAATTACGTACAAAAGTAGTGTTCATCACTTCCACTTGGGTGTGCAGAAAATTTGTTATGAATTAGTTACTTGTTGATAGTTGTTAGTACTTAAATAAATAAGAGTACTGTCACCATTTTATGTATCTTTTTATCATTCTGATCAGTATGTACGATAAGAAACTTTGTTGTTCTTTTTACCGTTTCTTGAGCTTTATTATGTGTGAACTCATAAATTTTATAAGAAATAATTTCATACTATCTAACAGTGATAACGACGTTATCACACTACTTTGTCGTTTATATCATACAAATTTAAGTATGATTACTTGAATTTGTTTAGGGAAAACTGACTGAAAAATAAAGTTAATGACACAAACTGTCGCCAAACTATTGCCTTAATGATATATATTATTTAGGAGGAAACTATAATTTAACATTCAAAGTTTCTTTTGGTACATGCTTCCCGATGATAAAATTGTGATAATTTGGTACATAAAGGCATCAAATCAAGAACTTTATCATAATCAGTCATCTCAAATGCCTATATCTGAAGATAGTTTCACTTCAACTCAGATAGATATATCTTTGCCAAAGAGATTGCTGATTCCCTTGCCAGGATCACTTTGTTTCACAATGGATTCTCCAACCAATATCTGTGAAAAAAATGGTGAAACAATGAGTTTGATACCATAAGGGTATTACTGTAGCTGGGGTGAGTAATAAAACACCTGTTGATGTTGGTTCACAATGAAGTGTAGAAAATTTTACTAAATATAATCAACAAGAAACAAATGTTTAATCCAGATTGTTTACTAAGTTTTTTGTACTGTCATTCTGCTGAGCCTTCAAAATACATAAGGACAACACCATAAACGCCGCAAAGAATTTAAATTCATGTTTAAGAATGAGAACGCATGCTTTAATGAAATTCAATTTCAATTACAATTTGCTAGGTGTTTTATTGATAAGATATGACATTGTCAATACTTACAGCTCTGACCCCTGCTTCTTGAACATAGGCAATGTCCTCAGGGGTGAATAGACCAGATTCTCCAACCATCTGAACAAACCATATGATCATCAGCATCATTTTAATATACCAAAAACAACGTTTCTTTTAAATATTCCCTCAGTTCCTATATAATATTCCTTTAAGATTCTTTCACTCAAGGAAAACATTTAATTTATTATTTTCAAGACAGTTTTAAATAAGTCATTATTATACCCTTTTCAGTTTCCTCTCCAACCAAATTTTAATGCAAAATAAAGTTGGAAATAATATAAATGAAAAAAAAAATGAAACCAATTCTTTTTCAAAACGAGAATATTATATAGGAAAACAGGGAGTAACTCTAAACAAAGGCAAGGAAAGGAAAGGCCATGTACAATTATGTCTCTCTCACGGATTATTTTGCCTCGCTCTCCTTCAAGAAGCTTCTTTGTGATGCTAATATCCAACTCAAATGTTTCTGCAATCACAAAAAGAGATTGGAACAGAAAGATAAAATCAAAATACAAAATCACTAATATTTTCAAACATGTATTTGTGCTTGAGAAAGAAAAAAAAAAACTTAGTTCCACTTTTATTTCCTTTACTTTGGATTTTGGTCCCTTTAAATTTTTTTGTCTAGTTAAGTCCTTCCATTTATGTTTTCTACCTAAAATCCTTAATTTCTCATTTTCTACTTGAGACCTTCGCAATGTAAATTAACTAAATTGTTTAAAACCTTTTCCTACTCAAAACTAACCGAACAAAACACTAAATTTCACCAAAATAAAATAATAATCTCAAATATTTCTCTCTTCAAATCCTAATTTCACACCCTACAAAATCCTTAAAGCCCCTAAACTTTTGTAATTCTAATTTGTAAAATGATTGTACTTCCTGAATCTGTCATAAACCCTCAAATATTTAGAAGGAAGAGAAAGATAATTTGAAGATTTCAGATATAACAAAATAGAAGGAGGGGCCAAATTTTTGCATGATTAAAAAAATAGGAACTTAATTGGCTTAAAAAACTTGGGTGACGAAAAGTGTTGCTAGGTGAAGTAATAGCAGAAAGTATGCAGATAAAAGTAATTGCAGTGCTTCAAAGTTTTAAGAGTTCTAAAAGTTTGTAGTAAGAAGGTTTAGATAGGACTTAAGTGATCATGTATCCATGTAGAAGGATAAGAAAGACAAAGAACATTAATGTAGAAAACTTGAAAAATCATACAGAAAATGAAAGCAAAATTAGAAATAAAAGGCACATCCAAATGGAGAGGTATCGGAAAACAAGCTGATCAAACACCAAAAGGATTTTACTGACTGTAAATTAAAAGATAAATTGCATAATATAATTACAACTACATTCCATTTAGGGTACAAGCTCGAGAAAAGCCAGATAACATTTCATCAAAAAGAAAAAAATGCAAGGGGTGGAGAGTAAAGGATAAGACATACCAAGATTACGGTTGTTAATGCCAATAAGCTCAATACCCTCTATTGCAAGAACACGATCAAATTCCTTCTCATCGTGGACCTGCCAAAACAGCATAAAATGTGAAAAAATCTTTCTGTCCATCAGGTATTGCGATCACGGAATCAGTCATGACAATCCATAAGTTTTGATTGAAGCTACGTTGGAAATTTCTGGTTCCAACAAAGGCATAGTCAATCTATAGATTCTATATTTGTAAATCTATCAAAATTTATTTCTTGCTTTCAAGTACAGAATCATTATGCGAAAGGGGTTCTGTGTTTATATTGTAAGTAGTCAGCTCCCTATTTTTATAATTATAACAACTACGCTATTCAAAATTATAAATGACCTGCTTTAGAACCAAGTTTACACAAAAAATGGGTACATTCATACTAAACATAAGATATCAGAATGCTTAAAAAAATTTAATGCTGCAGTTGAACAGATTTAGGAAACAAATAAAAAGTGCCAACTTTACCTCAACAAGTGCAGTCAGTCCAAGTATCTTGCATATTTTAATCATGTATTTGATGTCAAGATCAGGCAAAACAGCAGCAATTAAAAGGACAGCATCTGCACCTTTAGTTCGAGCATAATACAGTTGCCATGCATCTACAATGAATTCTTTGCACAACAAAGGGCACTGCATATTTTGTCTAGAGTCATCAACGTGGTCTATAAAAGGCATTAGATGGTAGAATATATACAATATCAGATACTTTACAAATCACAAAACAAACCTTTACTCCAGCCTTTCTTATTGCCTCAAGATTTTCAAAGCTTCCCTGGACCAATATTAAGTTAGAGTGAGTTATCATTGTGCTGTAGAATCTCCCAGTACTCAAGCAACCAAATATTATCAAGCAGTACACACATAACAACCAATTCCACGTTGGTTGGTTTACCTTAAAATACTTTTCATCCGTCAAAACACTTAGGCATGCTGCTCCACCCTTCTCATAAGACTTAGCAATTTCAACCTGACACAGAAACAGCTCAAACAATTGAATATACCATAAAGAGAGAAAAAGAAAAAGAAAAACCAACAAAATTATTGGATAAGTTGTTTGAAGGGTCATGATATATTCAGAGATACAAAAAACACCAAGACCAAGATATTCAACTTAGTGATAAAACATAACATCTTCCTGATACATTAAAATCACAGCAGGTCCTTGTTTTGTGAGGACAAAGTTTAACAACTATAATGGGATTGACTTTATAAATGCAATAATAGTAAAAGCAAAATCCGGGAGACAAAGATTTTAGAAGAAATTTATTTTGATGAGCATGAATATCAAACGGGTAAACAGAAAATTACTCAAGGAAGCAAAAGGTTTAAGATGCAAAGGAGAAGAAATTGATACGTAGACCTGTCTTGGATCAAATATGTATTCTGTAACAAGAAGATTCATGGAAGCCAAATAAAAAAAAAATGAACGGACTAGCTTTAACCAACAACACGAAATGGGTGTCAGCAAGTTCAGGCCAGCTAAAACATTTCCCAAAAAAAACCAGGAACAACTTCATAAAGGTTACAGTTGTAGAGAGAAAACAATTCGATCTGTAAAAATCATAAAGGAAGGCAAGGAAACCTTACAGGATCAAAGTTTTCTCTCAAAATACCCCTACTTGGTGATGCCTTCTTCACTTCAGCAATCAACCCCGGCAGTCCAGTTCGTTCATTCGCTGCCCTTAGAGCACCAATAAAATCCCTAACAGGAGGTGCATTTTCGAGAGCTTTCTTCAGCACACTGAGGGGCTTTCTTTCTTTAAGCTGAGAATCACAGTCACCAGTAATACATTCAATCCATTTGTTAAAAAATAACTTATATTAAGAACAATAGAGCACAAAACAATTCAATCATAATACTTGTGAGACTTCTTTGTCCTTGTTCCACACAATCTCTTCCAAAATGTTCCGAGGTGTATTGCCCTCATTCTGCAACCTGAATTGAAAGGGTCCTACATAATGCAGAGGGGGTCCAGATGGTGGCCTTCTCCTTATTCTTATGCCCTGGCTAGATGCAACCTCATTTTCCAACATTCCTACCTCCCACTCCTTAATCTTGAGAGCCTCTGTCACGGATTCACCAGATGAGGATACTGCAGCAGAACCATCAGTAGACTCCACCTAATAAAAACACCACAAATCAGTAAGAATTACTCATAACATAAACGTCAGCATTTCTACACCCCAATTGAACCCAAATTCTACTTTCCTGACCCACATACGCACCACCTAATCAAAACATAATCCAAAACTCACATGGCAAATAATAAGAGTTCCTCAGAACATAAAATTCTGCATTCACTCCAAATGAACAAAAACCATACTTCCCTAACCCACACAGCTCATTGGACTCCACCCAACCAAAACACCACATAAGCCAAACCCCACATGGCAAATCAACAAGAGTTCCCTGTAAATAAATTCGGCATTCATTCTTAAATGAATCCCTATCATGTATTCCATTCTCAGTGAGCCCAAACTCCCAAAACAAAAATAGACAGAGACCCAGACTAATCCATGAGGAGACACCCCAAAATGTTGCGAAAAGATAAAAAATTTGCCAAAAAAAAACTCACCTGGGCCCGAACTGAAAATGTTGAAAAGGAGTTTCTTTTATAAAAATTGAGTTGGGTCTGAAGATCCCAGGTTTTGGGTCTTGAAGAGAGGAATGGGGTGGCCTGAAAGGGAGCCTTGAGAGAAGCCAAACCTTCCATTGAAGGAGGTAACGCTGGAAAGAATGAGGGAGTGATAAAAGGAAGACGAGAATCAAAATGAAAGAGTTGTTGAAGGGAGCACACCGTCTATCTATGTTATATTGATTTGACGGAGAAGACTGTTTTCGCGTTCAACACGTGCGCGTAAATTCAGTTCCGATGGCACACCCTGTTCATGCTTTTTCTGAGCCAAACAGAGCACACACCAGTTGGGATTGGATTGACAAATTGAGACCTAAAAATGGCATAAAATTACCCAATTAATTGCAATGCAATGCAAGAATTATAACCTATTATTAATTTATCATATTGATTTATCATCAATACAAATTTAAATTTAATAGATGTGCCATAAAAAAATTAAATTTACAAAAGCAATTAGAAAAAGAAAACACAATAAGTAAAAATTTACATAATATTCATACTTCTTTAAGAGATTATTCATTTTTGAAAGTGAGAAGATTAGGAAATAAAATGATTCATTTATTGTTGGTTTTTCTTATTGTGTATTCTTCTGTATACGTGGGGAAAAGGATTCCACTTTTATTAAGTGAGGAATACAATTGTTAATTTGAAAAATAGGTGAGGAACTATTCTAGACTTTCGAGTTTAAATTATTCATGAATGCAATGAATACATTAAATTAAATATTTATTGATTTTATTTTAATATAATTAACGATTAACGATTTCAATTTCACCGAATTAAAATTATTTTAAAATGTGTTATGACCTCAATTTTATTGAAAAAATATGGTGAGAGTTAATCATTATATCTAAATTATTATTCTCTTTAGAGTTAGGATACTGAGAATGTCTCAATTACAATTACAATATAATGGATATTGGTCTTTGACCAAATTCATAATTCATTAAATGATTTGAGGTTTTATTAATGATAACCTTTTAAGAAATGAAGGTACAAGATATGGTTGAATTTTTTTTCAATATTAATTTAATCAAAATTTTGTTGATCTTTTCAATATAAGTAGTTCTTCATCAACTAATCCTAATTACTTATCTGAATCCTAGTGCAAGTTTAGTTTCTAGAAATACGGTAAAGAGTGATGTTGTTATGCATGTGTGTTGTTATACACACATTTTAAGCTTGACTATGTAAGAAGGATTGAAAGTTGTTGGTGATGTTTTTGATCATATTACGGAGAGCATAAAATATGTTAATAAGTAGAATGATGAAATTTAAACAATGTTTTAAAAAAATAGCAAACATTGATGAGTAAAATATTGGTTTAATACCCAATGTTGTCCCCACTTTGGTTCGGAAATCTCAATTTAGTCCCTTTTTATAAAAATAATTATAATGAATCCTTACTTGTAATTATGTGAGTCAAATTAGTCCCTTACGTTAAATAGAGACAAACGGAGTTAATGGGCTGATGATGTGGCAGTAGTCACTGATTAGGTGTCAACACGTAATTGAGATTGTGCTTACGTGGTGTTAGGGCACATGATTTTAAAGTTAGGGCACCTAATTGGAAATTGGGGGATAAATTGATTTGGGGAGCTGGAGGTGGAGTTCTTTAGGTGCATTGAATAGAAAGAAAGTTAGGGCAACTGGAGTTGGAGTTCTTCACGTACATTGCGAACACGGAGCAGTTGTGGGTGTTGTTGTTCATCATATTGTCATTCGTGTTGTTCTTCTTTACGGGTTGTGCTTAAGTCAGTGGTTGATGGTGGTTCGCGGTTGACGAATTCTTCTTCAATCTCAGTGGTTGTCTCGCTTTGGGGTTAGCAATGTCTTAGAATCACGGTTGTTCATCTTGCTCATAGGGGAGCTCTCGTGGTGGTTCATCCAGAGGATTGGATGGAAGCCAAATATGCCATTGTGGGGAGGCTGATGTGTTGAGAGTGGCAAAAACAGTTAAGAACGAGGGGAAACAATTCTGGGGCTGCCCTAACTACAAGGTTTGTAGTTTAATGTTTGTGATAAATTATTTTTAGTTATTAATGAAAATTTTGTGAATTGGATACTTTGACAGCGGACAAGTAATGAAGAAACTTCAGGATGCATTTCTTTAAATTGTTAATGAAGATTACGTAGATGAGCGCTAGACTAGGGACGGCAAAGGAGGAAGATAATAGCCTGGAGAAATGGTGTTAGGAATGTCAGCAAAGGGGAGAAAGATGTTATAAACATGATATGTTTTCTGGGATTCATTAACATTATGTTCTATGTATTTTGTTAAAAGTCCATATGTTTCTATTAGATAGTTTTAATGGGAAGAGCAACTTTGGGCAAATTTGTAATATGATGTTATGAAATGAATGTGAAATTTGAATTCAAGCATCTGAAATTAATGGTTTGAATTTACATTTTGTTTGATAGATACAACATAAAATGAGAAAGTGGTGTGTAACTGGCAATAAAATGAGGAGTGATATGTGCATTGTTTTAATCAAAAACAGAGTTCTGTAATCCAAAAAGAGAGTTTTCTGTATAAGAGGACTTTGTGATTGGAAGAAGTATATGTGCATTGTTTTTAATCCAAAAAAATAGTTCTGTAACAAAAGCTGTGATCAAACACCAAAACAGAAGCTGTGATCAAAATATAATGAGAAATTGGAATTGTTAAATGCACATAGAAACAAAATCTGTCATTGAAATTGATATGCCAAAGGTCCAAACACCATTCATAATTACATCATAAAGAAAACAAAATCTGTCATTGGCATTACGAAGGGACTTGAAATGCAAACGGTCTGACAGTTTAACAAAATACATGTCGTTGATTCAAAATATCCACACTTACGCTAAACATCCTTAACCTACTCCACATACTGTCAGTCCTAAATTCATCTTTTAAACTTGTGTTTGTAGATGGCTGAGTTTGTTCCAAAACGCATTGAGTAGCTGCTTGGTCCATAATTGGCTGACTTTTGTTCAGCTTGGGGTTTCGCTTGCTCAGTTGATTGATATTGAGTCCGGTTTGCTGAGGGCTTGTGGACAAACTATTTCTTGTTATGACCAAGCTGTTACATAATGGAACCTCTCTTACGAGTTCATTTTGCTTGAGTTTTGTCAATCCTTCTTTAGCTCCAAGCCTCTAGCCTTCTCTTCTTTTTTGGTCTACCGGCAACAACACTTTTACTACTTGGAGGCAAAACATATCAGGCTTAGAAGTCTTTTCCTCAAGCTTTGAGGACTCATTGACAGGGTAGATGATTGGAAGGTATGTTTCTTGGTAGGTTGACTTTGTAACCAATGTGGGACTATCTTCTCCATTGATGTTGATACATGTCATGGCAAGCTAGTGCATGACAGCATGGGATAGCTGTTAAAGTCCACTTTCTTGCAACTTCCTTCCATGTGTTATCTATGTCAAACCACATACTTGTCACTCATCATTGAAATGTGGTCTGACCTCAAAATTTTTGTCCTGACGCAACCCTGGCCATTTTAAAACACAAATCACTGTTTTAAAGTCCCAAATGAATAATAAGAGTCTCAATGTAGTAGTGATGTCAACATACCTAGGGATCCAGTTTTTAGTCAAGTGCAAATCCTTGTAAAATCTTTTTCTTAATCTTTGGACAAATCGTACCTCTTCATATGTTACTTATTTTGTTTCTATTGTTGCCCATCTCTTCATGAGGTACAGACGAGATGTCTTCCATTCATTGTGATGATAGGCTTACCTCTTGCATGTAATATTAACTATTAAATTCTTCGGCTATATTCACTAAGGTGTCACAAAACAGCATTACTTTGTAAACCTTGACGTGACCAAATCTACTTAAACAAATAACAGTGCAAATATCAGCTATGAAACAAAGACAATTACATAGGAACAATGGCATGTGGAGGACATACCTTGGTGGAAGACATAAGTATTTACAGGCGTCTGGATTCACCTCTTTACTCTCTCATCACTGCTTCCCATGTTTGAGGGTGTGTTGATGCTGCTAGCCTTCCATATGTAGAAACTTTTAGAATCTGCCAGGAAACCTCTTCCTGAAATTATCATAGATGTGCCGCACACAAAACGCGTGCTCCACACCAGGGAGAAGTTCTTGTAATGCTGGTTAAAAGTTCCCTATTGACATGAAAGGTAATACAGTTAAAATAAAAGACATTAAGGCTTAAAAGATTAAAAAAAAATTGCAAAGTAAGTTACTCACTTTTTGTTGACTCTGAACATCAAGTGATGGTTGAAGAATCTCCACACCACCAGATCATTAATGCGGAATGGTAGAAACCAACTCCCAACTGTCCTTATCCCCCACCTCCACAACAACATATGCCAAGACACTTTGGTCATTCCATCTTTTGCTACTGCAGTTAACACTCACCTCCAAATGTACCTTTTACAACAACCATCCAAACCTATAATCTTCCTACAAACACGAATCCTGTCCTACATCTTGACACACACATATATGTCTCTTGAAAATTGGAGTGGTCCTCCTTAGGTTCAACATGAACTTTGACAGTTGCACCAGGATTTGACGAAAGCAACTCATTGGCATAGTCATACTCTTCTATATTGTTCTTTAAACTCACCTCTCTATTTGTTTAAAAAGCCATTGCTTTTTTGCCCTATCCTACCCGTTGTGGACCGAGAAACACCAATGTTCCACTTCTTAGAACTTTGTTATGGCGGTTATATAATTAATATTTTGTTGTCTTTTCATAGTCTTCTCTAACTTCCACTTCAACCAGTTGAAGTCCATAAACGAATGTTAATTCTTCTACTACAAGTTTGGTTTGCTACTATTTTCCTTAGCTGCCATTTTTTTCAGCTGCCTATATGCAACATATGCATTCCAAGGAACATTTTCTCCTTTGCCCACACATCTGACAACACAACTCTTCGTGTTGTGCATTTTTTAATAAACTTGTAATTTTCTACCATGTTCTACTCCATAGATCTTATCGCTTCTGTAAAATCTTTTCTCATTTTTCTCACTGATACGTGCCCCATTCCCATTTAAATATTGTTCAATTTTTGGGCATTGAAAAAACAACCAAAATCCCATAGTCATCCCGTCATCATCTGTGTTACACTTTCCACACACTGTTCAAACTGTTCGTATTCCAATCGCTGAATCAGATAAACCCTAGGCCCACCAAATTCAACTTCAGTAGTAGCTTCAAAAATAGCGAATCCCCATTCAATCTCCATGGTCACTCAATACATCCTCTTCGACCCCATTCCAACTTCTAACATCATACTCATCAGCTTCTACTCCATTACCCTCTACCTCACCCTCTACCTCACCCTCTACCTCACCCTCTACCTCTCCTTCTACTTCTGACTGCACATCAGACTGCACGTCTACATTCACATCATTTCCCTCAGCATTTGAATCACTCTGTAACCTCAAGATGTGCCTCCCACCACCAACATCCTGTACCTCAAAACTGTGCCTCCACACACATCACTCTGTACCTCTACATCACCCACTACATCAACCTCACGTCAATCATTTGTGGGGCTACTTCTGTTCAGGTTCTACCCAGTTTGTCCTCAACCTCAACTTCTACCATAGCCCTACATCCAGTTTTTCTACATCAGGTTGTACAATCACCCTCAACTTCTATCTTTGTGGATCAAACTTCTGATTCAGGTTCTACCTTAAGTGCTACTGTCTAACTCTGCTTCACCCACTGCCCAAAAAGAAAAAAAAAAATCAACAATCTGCTTCACCCAATCTTTATCTCAACTTCCTTTTCAACACTCTCTCTCTCTCTAACTCTCCTTCCCACTAGGTCTATCAACTTGCAAATAGCACTTCTCTCTCATTTACTTGTCCTTCACCACTGAGGTCTATCAATTTAGGGTTCAAAAAAGGATTCAACTGCAGAAGATAACTCAGGTCTCACACATCCCTATGTATAACATAAGGTGAGCTTTCACCAGTCAACATAGCAATATTGATCAGATGACAAGCACCCTTGTCTCTAATAAAGGTCCAAAACAATTCCTATAATACAGACCAAGACCCAATGAATACCATAAGTCCTTTACATTCTTATAACCCATCTCCTTTAGAATGCTTAATATTTCAAAATAAATCCACGGTCCAGGGCTATTTTTAAAGTTGTGGTTTGACCATAGTGATATCCAAATGTCCCATTATTCTCAAAATTTCCCTTCCATGGTGGAAACAAGACCTTCAATGTCTGAGTTGGCCATATTATCTAATAAAAAATTGTCACAGTTAATCTATGCTTTAACCCTTGACCAAATGATATCTACCAAAACACAAAAGACATAAACATACCACTGTACAGACCATAAACAACTCAAACCAAAGCAAAACACATTCTCACGTAAATAAAGAAAATGCCACAACACATAACCACACACTATCATGGGGACCAACACGACAATGGCGCAACAGAAACAAAGCAATCATACAATGGGCACAACACAACAAGACAACCATACAAAAATCAAAACTTCCTGGGGGGACCACACCCAACAGCAACACAACACATTAAAACTGCCATAAACGCACCTTCGAAAGTGCTTTTCGATCCCAACCCCACCAACACAACTCTCCACGAAGGTCGTCCACGACAATGCTTTCTCTTAAACTTTTTTTATGGTTTAACCACCCCGAAGACTACTGCCTTGTCTTCTTTCGCGCACACACCAAATTGCCCTAACTGCCAACAAATCACCCCAATCGTATCCCCCAATTCCAATTAGGTGCCCTAACTTTGAAAATCATGTGCCCTACACACCCGTAAGCACAATCTAATTACGTTTTGACACTAATCAAGTGACTACTGCCACATCATCAGCCCATTAACTCCGTTTGCTCTATTTAACGAAGGGACTAAATAGACTCACTATTAATTACAAGTAGGATACATTACAATAAGTTTTATAAAAAGGGACTAAATTGAGATTTCCGAACCAAAGTGGGGACAACATTGGGTATTAAACCTAAAATATTTTATGTATAGATGTTCCTACTAGGTGAAGCTCAACTTTTTTTTATGCTTTAAAGTGCTCTTAAATACTAATGTGTGTTTGGAAGTTTACACCTAGTTGACTAGAATTATAAGTATTGTTTGTCTAAGGAGAAATTGAAAAAAAAAGTACAAAAAATATATATTTTTATGTCACCATCTAATGAAATTATAAAAATGATTTCTAGCTACCCTACATCGAACTTGTACCTTTTACATGTTTGGAACATCCCAACCCTTTTAATGGAATGTTTAAAAGATAAAGATGGAGTTGTCAAAAATATGGCTGAAATAATGGCGTAGTTTGATAAATACTATGATAAATATAATATTATCCTTACATTTAGGGAAATTTTAGATCCAATGATGAAGTTAGAAACATTAGGATATTGTTATGAGAAGATAGATCCTTTGAGAAGTAAAGTTAAAGAAGATGAAAGAAAAATTATACAAGCTTTTCTTTGAATATTGTTCCAAGAATGAGACTTCCCTTGTTCTAAAGCGAATGCATGATTTTTGTCAACATCATAGTCAATCTCTTTTTATGTAAGTCATATTATTTTCTCGTCATTTAATTACTATTATTATACAATAAATTAAACTTTGATTTCACTTTTTATATTAGGAAATGAAAAAAATGCAAGCTTTAGGCGATTGCTAAAATGGAGAGGAACCAACTTGATATATACTTGAGTGAGTCAACATTGAACATTGATATTATTGAAAGTATATGTGTTCTTGAATGGTGGAAGAATAATAGTCAATGTTTTTCAGATTTGTCAACCATAGCTAGACTTGTTAAGTATCACAATTACTATAATTGCATTTGAACTACTTTCAACATTGGTTTAAGGATTTTAAAGAAGTATAGAAGTCGTCTATTGTCAAAAAAGGTTGAAACAATAATTTGTACTTCCAATTAAAAACATGAATTTTGTGATTATAGTAACTTCTCTAATTTAAAATTTATTAATTTTTTTAATTTTCATAAATAATTTTATATTCTAACTTCTTTTTTTCAATTCCATTCCAAAGATGATGATGTTGATGAAGATAGAAGAGTGAAGGGAAGTTGTTCTAATGATACATCTAATAACCCTAAAAAGGAAAATAGTGAAAATTGAAAGAAGAAATATTTTTTATGTTATGAATATATTGAATCCTGAGTTTGTTATTTGTGTTCAAGTGAAAGTTTTGTGTTGAAACTCCTTCAGGTAGATGGCTTGTGGCAAAAGAAGAAAGTTGAAGTTTTTTATTATGTATTAACTTCTACCTTTGCTAGTAATATTTGAGGATTATGATTGTCATCTGTGAACAAATTTTCTGAATTTTCATTGGTACAAGTACTTATATGTCCAGTTAAGATTTTTTATTTTTGTAACAATGCATTATGTGAATGTCACTGAATACATCATAAAGGTATTGCACTACACATACAAGTTTTAAAACTATATGTATATAACAAAAAATAAAAAACTGATAGACTAGCCTGCCATCCTCTAAACCGGGTTCTAAGTTTCAATCTATTTTTAATTGACAGAGAAGTCCAACCCAACCCACCCGTTTTCAGTAAACCAATATCAACCCAGACTAAAACAAGCCAGACTGTCCATTTTGCCACTCGTAACTTTAATAGAATTCATTATGAAAGTTATTTATGTATGAAAATGTTGTTTAAATAGAAATTCGCAAGAGTTTTTTAATATTAAAGAAATAACAAAGAGGTTGTGAATGTTCATCCATGTAATGAGACGCTCCGAAGTGTGGGCATGTTCGGGTAGCTAGGATAATCAACTTTAGTTGCGAAGGAGAAAGGAAAATTGTTTTCCCAATGAGATTAATAATTTTTTAGTTTGTTTTCACCAACACCGTGATATTAATTTAATAAAAAATTTGTTGATCTTTTCAATATAAATAGTTCTTCATGAACTACTTCTAATTACTTATAAAGAAATTGTTGAATTTATTTTGTTAAGAAAATACTATTTGAGACAGGAAAGTATTTCTTAGGCAACTATACTGTTGAAGCATGAACTGATCACATAAGAAAGAAAACAGTTATAACCGTCTAAAAACAAAACTACAGTTTCACCATTCCTTTTTCCTCCTTATCCTAAATCAAAACAATGTGTGAAGGTATATAACAGAAGATAAGCACAAACGTTCATAGCTTTCCAGTCATAAGGAAAAACCAAAAATGAAATATAACAAAAGATTAATTATCTATTCATGGGGGATTTTTCAGCCTCCATTTTCTTGATAACTTGAAGTCCTGAGGCAATTGCAGTTCCCCTTAACCTGTGGAGAAAACCGAAGGTTTATTTATCATTCATTTTGCACACTTTGTTCAAGACAATTTCATAAAGAACACGGCCATCATCTCGAAACAGACAAAATAAACTAAAATTATTACAAAAACCAGACTATCTAAAAATGCCTTTTCAAAGAAAGTAGAAATCCCATAATAAAAGTTTATTTGATAAATACTCTCGAATTGCTACTGAGGGGATAGATATGCATAATCTTATACATGTACCCATGAAGTAATCCCCACTAAGATGTTTGAATATGAAATCGTAGCACCTTATCGTCATGTATATTCCTTTAAAACTAACGGCAGTGGAATTTATCTTTTGAAAGCCGTATTACAATGCAAAAAATTATTTCTGGCGCTTCAAACAAATTCTACATTTTACATCAAAAGCAATACCATTCAAAGTAAGCGAGAGAAACATAGAACATAACAGAGTCAAAGATGATAAAGTCACCTGCCAATTAACAAATGGCAAGCATTATGATAAGGTAAAAACTAGTAGTTATTCACCCTAAAAACCAATAGAGAGATCATAAAGTTCATTAAAATGTGGTTGACTTGTCATTCAACCCAGTTCAACCTCAAAACTCCATGAACCATTAATTTATATTGAACTTCCATCAAGAAGCACAGATAAAAGACAACAAGCATACTCTTATACATAGGCCAAATACTGTGTCAATTTTGATTTCTAAAAAGAAGATACTTGAGAAGGGAATCCCCCGCCCTTTATTACAATGCCATCTGATCTAAACAATTATATGATCAGGGCAAAAACAGAAGACAGACAGAGGTTGATCTCAATTTGTACAATGTGAATATAAACAAAACCCAGTAAGGTCGGCTTAGTGGATGGAGTGGTGGTGGGTTAGGTGGACAGTTTGAGTAATATGCGCAAGGTTCAAGTCCATAACTTTGTCGCCGTCATCGTAAACCCATTCACATCATCATATGCATAAAAAGAACCTCAATCGAACAAGAACTCAACCATTCCCATTCAAGACTAAATTATTTATTTGACTTCAGTTTTACTTAAAAAAACATAATTTACTTCATCACTTACACTTATCAATCAATCAATAGAACGAAAACTGTCTGAGCTATTATAAAATTTCCAAACACATGAATTTACACAAAAAATCTCCACTGTTCACTCATCCTTAGATATCCAATCGAATCGAAGCCATATTCGCTTCAAACCATCATATCAAATCGTTACTCGCAATCACCAGAAAATAATGCTAACAACTGAAGCAATACTTCTTCCCAATTGACTAACCAATCAAACAAGCCCTTCAAATGATTATTTTAAAATCTACACGCAAAAAAATCGAGAGATCCAAATAGCCGGAAAGAAGCATATAAAAAACAATTAAAAAAAAACATTTTTGAATGAAGTAGTATAATTCACCTAACCAGATCCGACGATAATGTTGTTAATTGGAATGAAAATGAGCTTAACGAAAAACCCCACAAACCCCATCACCACGAAACCAATTGCGGTACGCACTGCAACCTTGGAGAATTCTAAAATACAAAATGCATGAAAAAATCAGGATCCACTGCACAGATATTCGAATCGGATCGTAATGGAAGAAACGTAATTGGGATTAGGGTTTAACCTTTGCGATCGGGTTTGTGGCAACGCTTGACGAGCCTCACGCTGTCCTTTGCAAATTCTCTGAGCGGATCGAAGACGGAATCAATGGCGTCCATTCTCTCTCTCTCACACTCTTTCCCTGTCTCCCAACTTTGGAAACGAGAACGGAAATAGGCGTTGATTTTTTTTGTTCGGACAGGATAGGAGTTTTAATTTATAAGGAAGCTAAGAATATCTTCTTAGTCTAGATTATCAATATTTAAAATCACTTTTTTAATATGTCCTTAAATTTTTTAAAAAGATGTAGAAAAACACTTTTAATTAAAATATTAATATTAATGCTTAATAACTTAAAATATAAATATTGAAAAAGTTAAGTGAGCCAAAATTTTAAAAACAACATGAAGATGATATGATAACGTATACACACATTGACGAATTATTATAAATAATAAATTTATTAATTCTTTTTCAATGTTTAAAACTAATCACATTATAATTTTGTTTACAATTTTACAATAAAATCAAAATATTATTTTTTTATGGATTTTGTATATATAAATATTATATATTATATTTTATTGTTTTAATAACTAATAATTCAATCCAACAAAGAAAAGTGTAATTGAGTTGGATGTAATTTCCTTTTCACATGCGTATTTTAGATTCAATAATTGTTGTCTTTTTTATTTTTTATAATCGTCTAAAATTTCAAATAAAACTAATACAACAAAAACTTTATACATTACTTAATTTTAAATATTTTACGTTAGCTTTAAAATTGATGTAAATGTGATTGATATAGAGAATGGAGGGCCGTTTGACATTGATTTGATTGACAATTTATGTAGAAAATTGACATACTTAGTTACAATACGAACCAATATGCTATGTGTTACTTTTGTACAGAAAGTAATACAAAAGTGACATTTATTTTACATTACTTATTGTCTACAGTTATTATAGAAGGGGCGTGATGACATTTTTTCTTTCTTTTCTATGCTAGTGAATCTATAAAAATTGTTGAGCATTTCTTACTTATCCACAATAATAACATTTTTATTTGGTAGATAATCACACTCATAAGGATCATATGTAATGTGTCTTTTGTTTCATACTTTATTTTTATATAACTTTTTTGTCAAACAAAGAAGTATATACTAGATTATACAGACTCTTCACACAAAAAAAAGGTTTTTTAATGGAATTTTAATATAATACAAACTCAAAGTGTTTATGCCTTTATTAATGGGGGACATATAGCATATTGAAAAATACAAACTTAGCATTTAATTTTTTAACTTGAAAAATACTAACATTAAATTGATATTTATTTATGACAATTAAATTATTTTTTAAGACAAGATGTTAGTATTGAAAATTTATTTTTGTTTTTAAGATCAAATATATTGTATAACAACAATGTCTCAATGTTAAGACTTTGAGTATGTCATGTTAACATGTTCTTAAGTTTAAGACATTTACTAATACTCATATTAAATTAAAGATGTTCTTAAAGACAAATAAAATTTTATTTCAAGATACTACTCATTTCCTTTAAAATTGTACTAAATGACAATAACATTTCCTATACTTTAAAATTTAGACGTAGCTCTATTATGTTTTTGAAAAATTACATTTATCTTATATTTTTTAAAAATAAACATTCACTTTCTTCGTGGTTTTAATAAATAACACTCAAACATCTTATGTTTTTCATAAAAGGACATTGGCATCTCATGTTTTATTTATAAGAAAAATAATTTCTTAATTTTTTATATAAAAAATTCTTTAACTTTTGTATTTTGAAATTTCAATTTCTAATCTTTTTAATGTTTATTTAAATTATAGTCAATTTATCTCCTAATCTCATTGTGAGATTTATCGTTTTTATTTTTTATTTTACCTTGAGAATAGAGACGTAAACAAGTATGTGATTGATGATTAAAGATGATACAATTTTCTATATTATTTATTCATGTATAAAGGAAAAGAAAAACTCACTTAAATTATTTTATAACGCGTGGAGAGTGAACTATATATAATAATGATTTTATGTTTAGATTATACATTAAACCTATTCTTAATTTAAATATATTATTTCGTTTTTTTTAAATTATTAGTCAAAACCCTATCCTATGTAAACATAATTTTACCTAAAAAACTATCATTAAATGTTAAACTTTTATTGATGAAGATTCAATCCTACTACTTGTATCATGTCAGATTTAAATATTTTAAATATATATATATATATATTAAAAGGGGTCCGAGTGATTTAATATAACCTGAGGAGAGATGAGAGTAATTTCTTATTGAAATAAATAAAATTATATGCAAACAATTAAAGAAACATGCACATTGCACTGTTTTTACGATTATTATTTCCTCTTAATTATTTAGTTTTTTATTAATACATGACTTCACAACAAAAAATAATAATAATAATAATAATAATAATAATAATAATAATTATTATTATTATTATTATTATTATTTTAGCGGTGGAGCCTTTTAAATAAAGAAAAGATGAGTTGTGCAATCAAGAAATTTAGGTTGTTTGTTTACACAATTACGATACACAAATACCATAACAATTAAGATTGAGGGTTACTCTTCTCTTTCAAGGATTTCTTTTTAACAATTTTTTTATACATAAAAATTATTAAATTATGTAAAATCTACACAAATGAACACTTACAATGTTCAGAAATTAAAATCTACAAAAAAAATTAATAAACTAAAAATAATAAAAAAATTAAAAGAGTTGAAACGCGAAGGCTTGAACGGATGTGGGAAATCCGTCCAGCCTTCAACGAATCTTGACATCCTTAGACGGATCACAAGCTCCGTTGAAGACTGAATAGGTTTCCCACATCCGTTCAAGTCTTCGCGTTTCTCTTCTTTCTCTTACACAACACATTGCATACATCCATTTACATAACACATATACAAAAAGAATAAAAAGGAGGAAGCTTTAACCACAAAAATGTACAAGGGAAGATTAAACGAAGAGAAAGAGGAAGGGGGTGGGGGCTTTGTGTGTGTGAAGAAGAGAGGAAGATAGAAAGATAGAAAGATAGAAAGTTAGGGGTGTGGGTTCTTTGTGTGAAGAAGAGAGGAAGAGAGAAAGTGAGGGGTGGAGTTTGTGTGTAATTAGAGAAAGAGAAAAGTGAGGGGGTGGGTGCTGCATAATTAGAGTTTTAAAAAAGTAAATAAAGTTAAATGGTAAAAGTTAAAAAATTATAACCTAAGATATTTTTGAAATAAGAAAAAATCTGGAGAGGTGTAGGGAGTAGTTGGGGTGGTGGACGGAGTAACTCTCTGGGATTCATTATTTGAGAGTTGCTCCCTCCACCACCACACAATGCTCCCTGCACCTCTCCATTCTTCTTTTGTCCTTCTGTAAATTTTTAATTTCTGTTTTTACTTTCACCAATATCCAACTATTTCATTAAATCTCATTAATGGTCCCCACCAATGCACCCCACACTCCACCACTTTCACATAAATCAAATTGCTCTTTATTTTCTTCTCTCCTACTGTGATTCTTCTTTACTGTAATTTTTCAAAACAAAATCAATTAACTGTAATTAAATTAATAATAATTATTTGATTAAATAAAATAAAAATAATTTAGAAATAATTACGTAACAAATTAAAAAGGAAGAGAAAGGAGAAAGGAAGAAAATAGAAAAAGGGAGAAGATAGTAGTGAGTGTGGTACGTGAGTTTTTGTAAGAGGAAGAGAAAAAAAGAATGATAACATTGGAATGGTGGGGTTTCAAGTTAAAAAGGAAGATGGGTTTTGATAAGAGGAGAGTGTATGTTGTTTTGAATGTCGTTGTTGAGGAGAAAGGAAGATAGAAAAATAGTGTGTGAGAATTGTTGGGAAAAAGTGAGTGATTTAATGAAGATAAAAGAGTTGATGGTTTGAGAATGGCCAAGGGTACGGAAAGGAGCGCGTGAAGTGTTTGGGAAATTAATGGTAGTGAAGGAGGGAAGATAAGATGAGTTTTTGGTAAAAGAGAAAAGAAAAAGTAGAAAAGTATGAGAGAGGTTACATGTGATATATGCATGGAGTAAGAGAATGGTAGGGAAAGGAACGAATATGGAGAGAAAGAGAGAAAGTGAAATTGGGGTGGAGTTGTAGTTGTGAGTGAAAATGAGAGGGAGGTGTAGGATAATTAGAGTTTTGACATAAAAAGTAAAAAGGGATAAATGTTAAAAGTAAAAAATGTAATTTTGGAATTAAAAAATTCTGAAAGGTGTATCCAAAAATACTCTACATCTCCTCACTATTTTCTTTTATTCCAAAAATACCCTACACCTCCCCACTATCCTTAACAATCTTTCTTTTTCTCTCTCTGCATTAATGGAGCATTCATTTGGCTTAAATTTAAACTGGTGATATATTGCAAAATATAAAATTCAGAGAAAACTTTAATATTAGTGCTTCTGCCACTTCCATTTTATAAACTTAAGAGTTAGATGCAAATACAAAATAATAAACATAATAATATTAATAGTAAATAATATATTATTATTATTATTATTATTATTATTATATACTAACTTTATAATGACGAAAGAACTAAATAAATTTCAAATCTTTAACAAATAACTTTTCTATTATATTTTAAGTATTTAATAATATTTTTATTATTTATCTAATAAATTAAATATTTTATTCAAGTTATTTGAGTCAAACATGTCGATAAGCTAAAACATAATATAATGTTAAAAATTATATATATTAAATGTAAAAAAAACACATATATATAAACATTTTTCTAAAAATTTAGAACAAATTTTACCATTTATTAAGTAATTTGAAGAAAAAAACATTGAACAGTGAAAATAAGATCGAATCAAACTTATTTAAGGAAAAATGTAAATAAAATTTTGCAATATATCACAAGTTTAAATCTGAGTCATGTAATTGCTCCATTAATGTGGAGAGAGAAAGAGAAATATTTTTGAATATAGTGAGAATGTGTAAGGTATTTTTGGAATAAAAAAAAATAGTAAAAAGTATAAAGTATTTTTGAAATAAAAAATAATGGAAAGGTGCAGGAGCGCTTGGGATGGTGAAGGGAGGAACACCCCTAATATTTTTATCTACAAAATTATGATGGGTCAGCGTAAGGCCCACCAACCCAACCTGTTACAGCCCAATCCATTCCTCTACTTAGAAC